ATATTTCTTTGGGCGATCATGACTCTCTACATCTTCCAGTCAATTGTAGCTCTTAGTAAGTCTTGTCAATTTGCTAGCTTTCTTATTCCTTTTTTTCTACCAACTATTTATATAAGATCATTAGGTGGGTTATTCGCTGCTTTCTTTTGTGCCACTAGCCTTCAATATGTCTTGTGAGTGTCAAATTCTCCTGACCTCTTTTCACATTATGTGCCTTAGAGATTTCAACTGTTTCTTTCTGGTTCGACATATAGGTGTCCTTCTTTGTTTTCATTTTCCATAAAACTTCGTCTTATCAGCATCCTTCTGTAGAAATACACTTTACCTAAAGGTTCGTATTCACAGCATCCTTCTGTAGAAACACATTTTACCTAAAGGTTCGTATTCACAGCATCCTTCTGTAGAAACACATTTTACCTAAAGGTTCGTATTCACAGCATCCTTCTGTAGAAACACATTTTACCTAAAGGTTCGTATTCACAGCATCCTTCTGTAGAAACACATTTTACCTAAAGGTTCGTATTCACAGCATCCTTCTGTAAAACACATTTTACCTAAAGGTTCGTATTCACAGCATCCTTCTGTAGAAACACATTTTACCTAAAGGTTCGTATTCACAGCATCCTTCTGTAGAAACACATTTTACCTAAAGGTTCGTATTCTCAGCATCCTTCTGTAGAAACATATTTTACCTAAAGGTTCGTATTCACAGCATCCTTCTGTAGAAACACATTTTACCTAAAGGTTCGTATTCACAGCATCCTTCAGTAGAAACACATTTTACCTAAAGGTTCGTATTCACAGCATCCTTCTGTAGAACCATATTTTTGTTGCCTCAAGAGTTTTCTTGATCTTTCATTTTAGAAATCAATGGTAAGAAAATGTAAAATTTATTTGCGCTAGACTTTAAAAAGTAACCCAGTTTCGTAACCCTGCTTAAAAGCATGCTATCTCAAAGAGACATGCATATAAACGGCTTTATAAAAAAAAAATGTGTCGGATCTAATTTATTACTTGTCTATAAAAGAAACTGACCGCCACTTAATAGTCACGTGTTTGTTATCGAATAGCAAGATCATTTTTTTTTAATTAACAGGGTATCGAATTGCAGCTATTGAAATTGATTTCTTATTATTAATAGCTCAAAATAGGCACTTGGGCGTGGCAAGCTGTTATGGTTAGTAATCTTATCTCGCTATACCAATTACAACTAGATAGTGAGATCAATCTTCACTGGGTTCCCATATTTTCGGCCTTGTGCCACACCTAAGCTACGCTTAGAAAATCCTTTTGTGTACCTAGACGTGTATCAATGTTTAGCAAGCTTGTCGCGCTAAAATCATTACAATTGAGTAGTGAGTTTGATCCTCACTGAATGCTCCATAATTTAGGCCTTGTGCCACGTACAAGCTGCGCTTAGATAATTGCTAACCCTTTCGCAGCTCAAATTAGCCTAGACTCTTTTAAAGTCACTCCAAAAATATCAAGTAAGCAAGTCCAAATTTAAATAGCGCTCAGTTTTTAATATGGCAATGAATGCTGTAAAATCTCCCGGATGAAGACGCTTGCAGCAACAGGAATATGGCCCTACAGAAGGATGCTGAGAATACCATGGACCGAACACATCAGCAACGACAAAGTTTTAGAGAAATTGGAAACAACAAAAAAAAAAAAGGATCCCTATACTCAACACCACAAAGAGACCTTTGAAATTAGCTAGGACACATTATGAGGATGGAGGGTTTAGAAAATTTGACACTCACAGGACATACTGAAGGCAAGAAGGACAGGAAAAGAACGCAGAACCTACCTTGAGAGCTTGAGTACATAGATGGCGGAGCAGGGTTAAGATAGCAAAAGGACATTGTGGAGAGACATGATCGCCAGCGGACTGAAGGGACACAGGGCATAGACGAATAATAATAATAATAATAATAATAATAATAATCGAGTAACCTTCTTATTACGATACAAAGCGTTCTGCAAGGAAATACAGTCAGTTATGTGCCATGCGTGATACACTCTCAGGCGATCATGTATCTTTCGATACATGACTGACGAAGCAGATATTTTCCCGCTGTAGGTTGCCATTTCTTTCTGCGGTAGATCAGTTGCCATCCAAGGCTATAGAATCCGGTCGGTCCTGCTATTTACCCATAACTGGGGGGTGAGAAGAGGTTTCATACATTTCCCAAGGGTATTAGCACGTGAGTGAGTCAGTTATGTGCCATGCGTGATACACGTTCGGACGATCATGTATCTTTCGATACATGGCTGACGAGGCAGATTTTTTTACCGTAGTAGGTTGCCATTTCTTTCTGCGGTAGAACAGTTTCTATCCAAGGCTGTAGAACCCGGTCTGTCTTGCTACTTATCCATAGTTTGGGGGACAAGAAGATGATTCATACCTTTACCAAGGGTATTAGCAAGTAAGTGAATGTAATGGATTCGACTGGAATTCGAACTCGGCTCTCTGATTTCTCTAGTTTTACGAAAAGGAAAATCTGGTCAGAGGTTTAAAACGATATTCAGTCGGATCCATTTTTATTACCTTTTATTTTCTCATGAACTTTTTTTTGTTTGTTTGTTTGTTTGCTTTCTTAATAATGACCCGTAAATAGCGAGGAGCTTTTGTTTGAATTTTTATTTGTTTGCTTGTCATTCCTGTTTTCATTCGGAAACGTTTCACTTTACTCGCGTCCAAATACCGGACACGTCACTGCTTCGAGAACCTTTACACCTAATGACACGCAACCCTATGTTATATCATTGAACTGTAACGAAAAGCTCAGGAGAGTTTTCTTCTTGTACTAGGTCACAATGACCTTACCGGATTACTTTTTATTGTCAAGTGCTGACAGACGATGTACTTCTCATTCAGACATTATCTTAATAATAATAATAATAATAATAATAATAATAATAATAAAAAGTTGATTTTTCCACGTCTTCTTGAATTCATTTTATCATCACAAAGCCATTTCTATGCAGATAATTATCTAATATATAGATATGTGTGTGCGCATGCATGTTTATATATATATATATATATATATATATATATGTGTGTGTGTGTGTGTGTGTGTGTGTGTTGTTTGTGTGTGTGAGTGTATGTGTCTCTTTACGAGTGTGTGTTTATGTATATATATGTATATATACACATATATATATATCTGTGTGTGCATGCATATTTGTATGTATATATATAGATATACATATAAAAGTTTTCATGTCTGTATATATATATATATATATATATATATATATATATATATATATATACCTGTATATATGTATGTGTATATATATGCATGTATATATATGCGTATGTGTGTGTATATTTGTATGTATGTATATATATATGTCTGTATATATATATGTCTGTATATATATACATATATATATATATATTTACATATATATATATTTATATATATATATATATATATATATATATATACATATATATATATGTATGCAAATGTATATATATATATATACACATATGAATATATATATATATATATGTATGTATGTATGTGTGTATGCACACTTGTAAATATATTTGTATATATATATATATATATATACACATATATATATATATATAGAGAGAGAGAGAGAGGGTGGGTGGGTGAGTGAGTGCACCTCGAGTTGTATGCTTAGCAAGCTTGTCTCTCTCGAACAATTACAACTGAGTTCGATCCTCACTGGGTTCCCCATACTTTCGGCCTTGTGCCACATCTGAACTACGCTTGGAAATTCACTATATACAGGGTGGGAGATAAGTGTGCTTACATTTTTTGTTTTTTGTTTTTGTTTTTTACATTTATTTATTCCAATTTAACTTGGTTAATACTGTTATCTTATTTTCTTCCTTCACATTCGGCCGAGGACATCCAGATTTCGTTTCATTAAACACTGAACGCATTCTTACACGTTTATCTCATATACAATAAATTGTCAGCCGCGTTAGTAGAACAGAAACAAATGCTTCTCTCTCTCTCTCTCCCTCTCTCTCCTTTCTCTCTCTTTCTCCCCCTCTCTCTCCCTTTTTTCTCTCTCCCCTCTCTCCCCTTTCTCTCTCTCTCTCCTCCTCCCCCCCCCTTTCTCTCTCTCCCCCCTCTCTCTTCCCTTTCTCTCTCTCCCCCTCTATCCCCTCTCCCCCTTTTTCTCTCCCTCTCTCTCATCTCTTTCCCTCTCCCCCTCCCCCTCTCCCCCCTTTTCCCCCTCTCTCTCTCTCCACACTTTGCGCGCCTCCTTCTCGGTATTTTCAATTTTCCTGTCCGGTGTATGACGATAAGCCGCATCCGGCAGCAAGGCTTATTGAGATTGGAGATTTTGAGTGGCCTGGAACCACCCCTTCCTTTCTGTTTTCTCAGGTCCACCCTGACCTGGAGTGGCAGCACCTGTTAGGGTCCCAGCAAATAGAGATTTCGATATCAGTCATGTACCGAAATCAGATTTTTTTCCCGCAGTAGTTTGCCATTTCTTTCTGCGGTAGACCAGTTGCCATCCAAGGCTATAGAACCCAGTCTGTCCTGCTATTTACCCATAGCTGGGGGAGAAGAGAATTCATACTTTTCCCAAGGGTATTAGCACGTAAGTGAATGTAATGGATCCGACAGGAATTCGAACTCGGCTCTCCGATTCCTCAATCCGAGCCGCTATCCATTACTCCACCGTATATAGTCAAATTACCAACAATATATTTTCAAAGCAAAATGACCAGCAAAACATTTTATAGTAAAATGATCAATAATACATATCTATAGTAAAATGATCAACAATAAATTTTATCTATAAATGATGTCATACAATTGCGTTTAAATTATATTTAGTTGAAGCCTTAAAATTGTGTTTAAATTGTTTAGATTTCGGCAGTAAATAACCATTCTGCTAAAAAAAAATGAACCTAAATTGAATCTTCTAGTATTGCTTTAGAATCCACATTCTTTGTCTTCGACTCAAATTATTTGCCATTATTTAGAATATTTGTA